AGAGTGCGATGAAAAGAATTGTCTGCTTTACTCCCCAAATAGCCTCAGTCTGAAAAAAATAGTTCTTTGATGGATCAGAACCATCTAAAATCTGCTCCTGTCCATCAAGACCTTTTCTGAAATTCACAGGCAGGTGATACATAGAACTACATACGGACAAGACTCTGCAGAAGTCTCTGCGAGAGAAGCAGCAGACTCCTTGCAGGAAAGTTCCTCTTTGGGGACCCAGGGAAAGATTTTCAAACAGCTGATATTTGGATCTAATTTTGCTCATATCCTTATGCTCCTGGAGTCCAGCGAGATCCTCTTGTGAGAAAAGGTTCCAAAATCAGATCCTCTGAGCACAAAAGTCTTCCCTGAATCATAGAATCATATCTGATCAGGTTTGGAAGAGACCGCAGGAGTTCATCTAGTCCAAAATCCTGCTCAAAGCAGGACCAATTGCACTAAATCATTCCAGCCATTTTAAATCTGGCCTTTAAAACACACAAAAGATGCAGATTCCACCACCTCCCTAGGCACCCCAATCGAGTGCTTCACCAATCTACTAGTGATTTTTTTCCCTATTATCCAAGCTAGATCTCCCACATTGTAACTTGAGACCACTGCACCTCGTTCTGTCATCTGTCACCACTGGAAATAGCCTGGCTCCATCCTCTTTGAAACCGCCCTTCAAGAAGTTGAAGGCTGCTCTCAAATTGATACTCATTCTTTTCTTCTGCAGATTAAATAAGCCCAGTTCCCTCAACCTCTGCTCATAAATCATGTGCCCCAGCCCCCTAATCATGTTTGTTGCCCTCCGCTGGACTCTCTCCTATTTGTCCACATCCTTTCTGTAGCGGGAGGGGGGCCAACACTGAACCCAGTACTCCAGAGGTGGCCTCACCAGTGCAGAATAGAGGGAAATAATCACATTCCTATATCTGCTGGCAACGCTTCTCTTAATTCACCTCAATATGCCATTAGCCTTCTTGGCAAAAAAGGCATCTTCTCGAACCATATGCAGCGTCTCATTTACTATACTCTCCAGGTCCTTTTCTAAAGAACGGCTGCTTAGCCAGTCAGTTTCCAGCCTGTAGCAGTGCATGGGACCCTTCTTTTGTCCTTGTTGAACCTGATCAGATTTCTTCTACGCCAATCCCCCAAGCTATCGAGGTCTCTCAGGACCCTATCCATACCCTCCAGTTAGCATCATTTGCAAACTCCTTGAGGGTCTAATCCAGTGTTTCTCAACCTTTGTTTAATAAAGTGGCCCTTTAAAAAAATTATAAGTATCCCCAATACCTACATTTTTCAGACACACAAAATGTTTTCTACCATTGCAACACATTTGTTTAAACAACTTAATCATAGCCGGATGGGAGAAGAACTTTTTGGGTGTAAAAGGTACAAAAATAATAAAGGGCTGTAAAACTTAAAACAAAAATTCTGTTTTCTCCAAATTTCAATTGGGTTGACGTACCTTCCAGACTTCTCTCGAGTACCCCTAAGGGTACTCGTACCACTGGTTGAGAAACACTGGTCTAATCCACCACTGAGTTCCACTTGTGTAAACAAACCCATGGTCCTGTTTGAGCTGCAGGAGGATAACTGAGGACAAAATTTGGACTCATTCTTGTTCATATTGGAAGTGGATCAGGATTATTACAAACAGCAAAACAGACAAGTCACTTTTTTTATGCCCAGTGTGTTTGATATCTGACCTTCAAAAGGACTTGTAATAATTTAATTCAAAGATACGCTGTGTACATATTCAGCTCCTCATTTTGCTTGTCTAAGGGAGAGAAGAGAAAACAATGGAGCAGACACTTTGAGCTCCCAATGAGAGAAGAGAAAGCTGGCAGCCTTCCTCCTGCTATCCTGTTAAATATATCTCTATTTAAATGCAAATTATCATCTGACACTGCCAAACAAAGTCATGTAATAGGAAGCAGACAGGCTAGTTCGAGCTCTTTGCGAAGATGCTGAATCATGTTTATTTCCAGGATAGAAGGAGCTGGGTGAGTGAATGTTTGGTTCCATACCAAAGACCACGTGGTTGCCAAGGAATATGAGATGCAGGGACTTTTATTCATATGTGGCGCTTTCAATGATCCCAGCATGCACAGAAGTGTAGGAGGGCTCTTTGGCTAGGTCACCTGTCATGAAGCTACTGTTCTCTCACCACAGACGTTACTATGGCAATGGAAAATCCAGAGGGTACAGTACTTATTGACTGGGAATAGAAGCTGGACAGGAGGAGAGAAATGAGATCTCCTTCTGCTTCTGGGATATACAATTAACAAGAAATCTTCTGGGTATTCTAAGAGTCTAATAGATCTAGCCACAAGACTTCCATTAGCTTTCTAGAATCACAGAAACATAGGGTTGGAAGAGACCTCAAGAGTCCAATCCCCTGCCCAAAGCAGGACCAACCCCAATTCAATCATCCTAGCCAGGGCTTTGTCAAGCCGGGACTTAAAAACCTCTAGGGATGGAGATTCCACCATCTCCCTAGGGAACCCATTCCAGTGCTTCCCCACCCTCCTAGTGAAATAGTTTTTCCTAATATCCAACCTAGACCTCCCCCACTTGAACTTAAGGCCATTCTCCCTAGTAATCTTCTGCAGACTCAGTGTGACATTAGATGCAACCTTGAGCATCAACGGCATTGCTGTCGGAGTAACTCTGGGAGGTTCAGAGATGCACCTGTGGTTTGGCTTTCCTTATTGGCTTCCCCCTCATTCCTGTACCAGCAGCAAATTGCAACACTGCCTGCATTGGCTCAGTGGCATTGGCTCACAAGTGTGGCTGCTGTATGGGGAGTGTCCTATTCTTTGGGAGTGGGAATAATCAGGTTGACAATACCTGCTTTGTTATATATATATCTGGATCCACTAACCTAAGGTCATACTTCTTACTCAGTGGGATGGAGCTATGCACAATGGAGTCCTGACGGAGACTCTCTTCTGCTCAAAGTTTTCCACATTTGCTATTAGCCTCGCCCTCTTTCCTAGCTTCCAGTGTTATAAATCAATTAAGATTTATTAGCTTTCTGCACAGGACTCTAGTAGCCTCTTAATAATAATTATCGTTATTACTGATTAAAGTTGCATTATTCATGCCAGATGGAGTTCCCGTCCTGTCAGCCAAAATGAGTTTGCACTAGGTAGTTATAATGTGTTTGTGATCTAAATAAACAGATGGCTGGAACTGATAGGAAATTATATGCTGATGATGTCAGCAACAGCGCTTCCCAGGCATAATTGCTTTAAATGAACTTCAGTACAGGAAAGCCCTCTTACTTTCAACAAGGTAGTTGGCACACTTGGTGTAACGACTGTATGATATAACCAGTCATGCCATCAACAACCTATGCATGTCAGAGTGATAAGTTTGTTTCAAAACCATAACCTTTATGACATTCTGACTTCCCTGAATAAAACAACATATCTTCCCCCAAGCAGTTAATATATTTGAGGGGGGAGGGAGTATTACACTGTTAGCCAAGTAAAGAACGCTTTTTTCTTTTGGAGCCAGACTTTCAAGGTCCAGAGTTTGGGGGGTAGCCGAGTCAGTCTGTAACTGGAAAAGCTTAAAAAACAACAAATACACTTCCAGCACCTTAGAGACTAACAAAACATGTAGAGGGTATCACGAGCTTTCATGGGCACTGCTCACTTCTTCAGATGAATAAAGTTATTAAAGATCCAGTTTCTAAATAAATAGAGATGTTGAGGGGAGAAGGAAAAAGAAGGAAAAAAAGAAAAACAGGGGAAGAAATAGTCCAGTTAGTGTCCATTCTACATGAAGCTGATAGATAAGGTACTCATTGTTCTTAAGCAACCATTGTTGTTTTTTTTAATGTCATGAGGATGTGGAATGTAGAGGGCCATTCAGTCAATGTCTTTATTCATACCTTTGTGATAGGAAGCAAACTTGTAAGTGAAGTTGGTGGAGTTGGCTTGTGGAATTGGCCTGAAACAATATGGTGACTTTGAGACCCATTAATTTGTTCCACGGGCAAGTTAAAATGTTCTTTCTCCTAGAGAAAGAATTAATGGACACAAATCTGATATCCAAAAAGGCAACACACAGAAATTTGTTGGGGAACATTTTAACTTTAATAACTCCATTCTTCTGAAGAAGTGGGTTGTGCCCATGAAAGCTCATGAGACCATCTACATGTTTTGTTATTCTCTAAGGTACTACTAGACTATCTGTTGTTTTTTAAGGTCCAAAGTGTTAGCACAGAAATGTGACCACACTGGATCTGTTAACATTCCATAGTTTGTGTATACAGAAGATGATGCTATTAACACATTCTTTGAGCCTCCCATTTTAATTTAATGGGATTCTGGATCAAGTTCTACATGGAAGTGAACTCAATAGCTTTTCCGAGTACTATTTTATGAATAAGAGATTCCTAAAAAATTAGGATAGATTGCTGTCAAGGAAAAACCTGACCTGTGTAGCTGACAAAATACCCATATCTTTTAATAGTGCTTTGTTCATATCTTGATTATTTTCCTTTTCTCCCCAGAAGTCTGTTTGTTTGCTCCTTTGTATTGACTTTTGTTTTCTCTCATGGAGTTCAGATGTTTTGTGTGCTATTTCTAGCAGAAACATGCATCAGTAAAAAGAAGCTAAGTGGTCTCATTAGGACATCCAACATAGCCCATTATGTTAACTGCTCAGGATAGTTAACAGTGACAACGTATTTAGATGTTCCCAGTCTGGTTTTCTCCTCTGTATTTCGGCATCTGTTCTCAAGACCCATACATTCAATGAGGGAGTAGGGTTAGGATATTAAGCACCAATTTAATGTGCCTCAGAATCATACATGTTTGGCTCACGGGGCCACCTACTAAACTCAGCTGTTTTGCCAACATTTCAACACTGGTAAGACATAGAAATCCTCATATCTCAGCACTAGTGCTTCTCTTGAGGGATCATGGGGGCCCCAAGGTAGAAAAGAACCTTGAGTTTCTAACTGCACTCTCTTTGCTTTGACTCTGCAGGTGGACGATGCCACAAGTCCTGCAGAGGCCGATGTTGGGGACCTACAGAAAACCACTGCCAGAGCTGTAAGTATGTGAGGACAGGCAAAGGAAGAGTGGCAAGAATTGTAAAGTCTCAGAAGAGTAGCTGTGAAAGTCTGTATTTGCAAAACCGATGAGGAGTCCAGTGGCACCTTAAAGACTAAGGCAATGTCTACGCTGCATCACTATTTTGGGATACTGGAGTATCCAGAAATAGATATCCCATGTCTTAATAGCAAGCCCATTATTTGATGCTCACTATTCCAATGTCCCTGTAAACCTAACTCGACAAGGAGTAAGGGACATTTCAGAATAGTGCATTATTTAGAAATAAGATCAAAATAAGATACGCAAGTTGTGTAGCTCAAATTGTGTATCATATTTCGAGCTGCGGTGCAGTGTAAACTCACCCAAACAGATTTATTTGGGCATAAGCTTCAGTGGGTGGGTTTTATCCATTTATGGCCAAATAAATCCATTGGTTTTTAAGGTGCCACAGAGCTCATCCTTGTTTTTGAAGAACTGTAAAGGGATTCTATGGTTTCTACCTCATTTACACCAAGAACTCACTATGGGTCACCTCTAGCCCACTCATTCCAGTCCACTCAATTAGCCTCATTGGCATTGGCTCTACAATTGACAGGTATTCCCCCCCCCTTCTTTTTCTGTTATAAATTCTGGGTTCCCATTTTTTTTTCACTCCAGCTCATCTGAAGAAGTGGGTTTTGCCAACGAAAGCTCATGATACTAGATACATTTTTGTTAGTCTCTAAGGTGCCACAAGACTACTCATTCTTACATTACAGACTAACACAGCTACCCCCTCTGAGACTTTTAAAAATAGTTTTCACTTTTTTGCTTGTAGAAAAGCTTCTTTTGTGCTTTTGCATCTAGCAATTCTGGGATTTTTTTTTCTGTGCTTCTAATGAAGCTTAGGGCAATGCACTACTACCCTTCTGCATTTGTGTCCCAACATGGGGCGTTGCTTGGGGGAGCGGTAGCTGTTTCTTCAAAACACATTGGAGCAAACACAATAACAAAAATGTAAAACTATGGACGTGATCCTGAAATCCTTAATGAGGGCCCTATCCTGCAGGAAGCTGAATAGCTTCTAAAATCCTGTGAATGCCAATGGGAGCTGGAGGTTACTTGTCCCCTTGCAGGATTATGCTCTTGATAGAGACCTCAGGATATAGTCTGTTTTATGTAGGTCCTACTTAGATTACTATAAATTGTTTGTTGGGGTCACTCTTCCTAGGAAGCCAACTTACATTCTACAAGTGAGTCTGTCTTTTGTGGTTCTGTTTGTGGTCTGGGTTCAAAGGCAATAGATATGAGCAAAGCACTTGCAAAAATAACCTGCCAACACACACAAGCCCATTCTACCTGATTCTGTCATTAGGGCTACATCTAGACTGCAAGCCTCTTTCAAAAGAGGCTTTTTCAAAAGATACTTTCGAAAAAGCCTCTTTCAAAAAAGAGCATCTAGACTACAACCAGTACGTTCGAAAAAGCAAACCACTTTTTCGAAAGAGAGCACCCAGGCGGTCTGGATGCTCTCTTTCAAAAAAGCACAGGTTGCATTACATATTGCCTTTTTTTGAAAGAACACTTCCAAAAAAAGGCGTTTTTCCTCATAAAACAAGGTTTTCCACGGTCGAAAAAATTGCCCTGTTCTTTCGATTTACTTTCAAAAGAACGTGGCTGCAGTTTAGACGCAGGGGAAGGTTTTTTTTTTTCTGAAAAAACCCTATAGTCTAGACACACACCAAGGGTCTAATAAGTATTCCCCTGTGTTTAACTGCATTCAATAGAAATATCACCACTGCTTGCACACATTGGGGGCTACCTCCAAGAAATTAGAAAATGGAGATTGTTTTACAGGAAAATTTTAAAAGAAAAAAACAAAACCACTCTCCCAGTATTATTCTAAGATTATCTACAATAAAGAAAAGTGTCCAAATGACTATACTGTAAATTCTTCACTCCACAATAAAGCAGCAAGATTTGATGTCACTCGGAAACATCTGGATCCAGATATTTATGGGACACAGCTTGACTAACCATTGTAATTCTGCTGACTTCAGGTTCCTTGAGTTTTTTCTTCTCTCTGGGTATGTCTACACTGGAAGCTTGTTTTGGAAAAAAGCTATTCTGGAAGATATCTTCTGGAATAGCTTATTTCCAAAATAGAGCATCCACAACTACAGGGAACACTCAAAATTAGTCTGGGGCAGGCTTCCCTAATGTGGATGCACTATCTTGATTGAGAGCCCCAGGAGGAATAACTTAGAATGGCCCAAGGGAGTAGCTATTTCGACATAGCAGCAGTGGAGCATCCACACACACTCTCTTCCAAAAGAGCTTTTTCAGAAGAGGCCTCCATTATTTCGATTTTCTTTCGAAATAACACTGTTGCTGTGTGGATGCTAGTATTGTTTTTCCAGAAAAACAGCCATTATTCCAGAATAACGGTAGAGTGGAGACACACCCTCTGTATCAACAACACTGAGAGAAACCTTATTGACTGCCATCAGTTATAGGGATACGCTTCTCACAAGGTATGCATAGTAGGTATGCGGGTGCTGTGGGACCGGGTGGGTGGTAGCACAGGATTTGCACGGCGGACAGCTGCAGCAGGTCCAGCTGTGGAGAAGAAGAGGGAGAACTGATCAGTGTTAGCAATTCACACACAAGTCCATACAACAAGGGATGGGAATGTTGTTACTGGTAGGCCATGTCTGGCCTTGCCAGCCGCCTCGGCTGCATGGGGACCCATTGTGGCTAGGACAATGTCCACCTCCACCCCCTAGATCCTCTCGCCCTCCACTGTGGCTGTCCAGGCCAGATCAGTGTGCAGGCACAGTAGGACAGGGGCCTGCTACACCTTGGGTCTCCCATGCCCTCCCCCCCCCCACATACCCACCACCTGCCCGCCTGCTTGTACATGCACAGAGAGATGCCAGCT